AGGCATTGGTGAGTCATCCTGTGCTTCGCATTGCCGATCCCAACCTCACTTTCGTAGTCACTACGGATGCGAGCCAGTTCGGGATTGGTGCTGTGTTGCAGCAAGATGATGGTGATGGCCTGCGTCCGCTCGAGTACTACAGCAAACGCATGCCCAACCATAAGGTAGCTACTTCCACATATATGCGTGAGCTTTACGCCCTGCGCGAAGCCCTCGCACATTGGAAACACTACSTCTTGGGTCGCCACTTCAAGGTCTACTCTRATCATCAGACCTTGCAGTGGATTCARACACAATYTGAACTSTCTCCTACATTGACSYGCTGGTTGCATGACATTGATGTCTACAGCTTTGAGTTGAAACATAAGAAAGGCTGTTATAACCGGGTTGCTGATGCGTTGTCCCGCCATCCTGAATTCTTGACTTGCCTTGTGGGTTCATACGACCTCCGAAGGAAACTGAGGGAGGATCTGGTTGAACACACCGCCAAGGATCCGGACCTCAGTCCCATCCTTGAGCAGCTCAAGGCTGACCCTAACAGTCAGCCTGATTTTCATGAATGCGAGGGTCTTGTATTCCGCCGGTATGGGAAGTTTGACCGTTTGTGTGTACCCAACCATGCGCCTCTCCGAACTCATTTCTTGGATTTGGCACATGGTCGGAGTGGACATTTTGGCTTTGAAAAAACTTATGGAAGTCTTCTACAACAATTTGATTGGCCAGGAATGAAAGGATCTGCTCAGAAGTTCATTGCTGAATGTCAAGTATGCCAAAGAATCAAGGTCCACAGGCATAAGCCTTATGGCCTACTGAGACCTCTCCCCATTCCTGATGGACCCGGTGAATCGATTTCCATCGACTTCACGGACATGGGAAAGGTGAGTGAGGCTGGGAATTCACAAGTCATGGTCATTGTGGACTGCTTCTCCAAATTTATGAACTTGATTCCTCTCCCTCCTCACACCCCGACTGAACTTGTCATAGAAGAATTCCATCAACAGTACATTCTGCAGTCCGGCGTCCCGAAAACTATTGTAAGTGATCGGGACACCAGATTCATCAGCAAAGATTGGAAAGACTTCACATCTCAGATCTACGACATCAAACTCAACAGGACTTCTGGTTGACACCCCGAAGCCAACGGATTGGCTGAGGAGATCAACCAGACTGTCATCCAATTGCTTCGCGTACTAATTGTTCCAGATCAGAACACGTGGGACAAGGAATTGCACAAAGTGAAGGGGCTGTACAACAATTCCATTCACTTTGCGACTGGTGTGACACCAAACCAATTGCAGTATGGATGGCCGATGCGTAACCCCCTCTCCTATCTGTTCCTCGAACGGTCACCTGGTCTGATGCCCGGCATGCCTGGCTACAATGCCAAGTACGCACGCTTGCTCAAAGCTGCTACAGCAGCTATGAACAAGTGCCAGCATGCCATGATCAAACATGCCAATAAGCTACGCAAAGAAGAAAAATTCAAAGTAGGGGATTATGTTTGGGTCAAAATGTCTGAGTTTTCTGATGAAGAGGGCATATCACGGAAGCTTCTTCCACTGTACTACGGCCCTTGGCAGATTCTGAAGGTAGTCGGGGATGACTTTGGCCCTTCATTTGTGATTGACGTGCCTCCTCATCTGCGCACGTATCCGGTCTTTCATGCGTCCAAACTATTCCCACACATTGATGATGAGACCTTTCCTTTCCGGGACCCGATGATACCTCGCCCTATCGACGGCGGCCATGAGATAGACAGAATCGTATCTCACGAGGGAAGAGGGAGGAACAGACAGTATAAGGTTCACTTCCTCTATCACCCGTTAACTGAATTCTTCTGGATCGACCGGAAAGAGCTGCTAAAAAGTGCTCCCCGTGTTGTGAACGCTTACGAAAGACAGATCACCGAGGGACAGACCGCTAAGTTCGTAGCAACAATGACTCCTCATGGATTGACCAAGTCTCTTTTTCTGATGTACTCCTACGATGCATTCTGTACCGACTCTGACTGAGTTACTCGCTCGAAGGGACCTCGCTCTCGAGAGGGGAGTAATGTAATGACCCGCCAAAAACACAGACTGAGAACACTGCTGATTTCTGGATTTGTCACTGGAATGAATGCCTCGCTGTGATTCCCGCATTCTGCTGTGGTCCCAAGTCTGTGTGTATGCGTGCCTGCTGGTTTGCATGCCTGTCTGAGTGCTTGCCGGTTGTATGTGT